GACCCGCGAGAAAAGGATCGACACTCACCACCTATTTGTCGACTTTAAAGCCGCTTTTGACAGCACTAAAAGGAGTTGCCTATATGCCGCTATGTCTGAATTTGGCATCCCCTCAAAACTCATACGGCTGTGTAAAATGACGTTGAGCAATACCACGAGCTCCGTCAGAATTAGGAAAGACCTCTCCGAGCCGTTCGTCACCAAACGGGGTTTCAGACAGGGCGACTCCCTTTCATGTGACTTCTTTAATCTGATGTTGGAGAAGATAATAAGAGCTGCAGAACTGAACCGCTCAGGAACAATTTACTAAAAGAGCGTGCAATTGCTGGCTTATGCCGACGACATCGACATCATCGGTAACAAAAACCGCGAAGTCTGTTCTGCCTTTCACAAGTTGGATAGGGAAGCAAAGCGAATAGGTCTGGTGGTAAACGAGGACACCCCGAAGTATCTCCTGTCATCAAACAAACAGTCAGCATATTCGCGCCTTGGCACCCACGTCACTGTTGACAGTTACAATTTCGAGAAATTAGAGAATTTCGTTTATTTGGGAAGCAGCATTAACACCAATAATAATGTCAGCATTGAAATCCAACGCAGAATCACTCTTGCCAACAAGTGCTGCTTTGGACTGAGTAGGCAATTCAGGAGTAAAGTCCTTTCTCGACGTACGAAAACTACGCTCTATAAGTCACTCATCATGCCCGTGCTGGTATATGGCGAAGAAGCATGGACAATGACAACATCCGATGAGGCGGCTCTTGGGGTGTTTGAGAGAAAGATTTTGCGGAAGATTTACGGGCCTTTATGCGTTGGCGACGGCGAGTACCGCAGACGATGGAACGATGAGCTGTATGAGCTTTTCAACGACATGGACATAGTGCAGCGAATTAAAATACAGCGGCTCCACTGGCTTGGTCATGTCGTTCGAATGGACACCGATGCTCCAGCTCTCAAAGTATTCAGCTCGGAACCCGCTGGTGGCAATTAATGCTGCGGTTTGATAATAAGCATCGTTCAGAGGATTTTTCCTTTTGAAATAGAGCGTTTTATTCAGAGCGAGGGAGAAACAAAATTTATAGAGAAAATTAAACGAAGTCCAGCTTTTAAAAATATGCCACCCACAGTAAAGCGTTTTGGAGATTTAGCGATGGTATGGACATAAAATACAGCAAAAAATATAATACGCTCAGATGGAGCGAAATAAAAACGAATAAAGAGAGGATCTGCTAAAAAAAATTAGCTACGTGAATTCTCAGATACTTATTTTAATGGTTAACAATTATTATTGGAAACTGTCTGTGCGAGAACCTACTTATTGAGAAGATTTCTATGATGATGCCAAACAGTGTTGCCATATTTTTTCTGGGGGCACAGCGGTTTTTGAAACATTTTGAGAAAAAACGGCGAGATTCTTGCATTATTTTCTTAGATTTTAAGCTTGCAATGATAACATAGATCTTCTTGATTGGCGCTGTAACCGCCTACGCGATTTTGGTCGAGTTCAACAAAGCACGCTAGACATTTATCCTCTGTGCCAACTGACGCCAATTGAAACTGCCAGGTGAAGCCAAGTCCTTCGAACGACACGGCCAAGCCGGCGGAGCTGCTGTGTTTTATTTCGTCAAAATCTTTCGCTCCAATACTCCAAGCGCCGCCTCATCGGATGTTGTCATTGTCCTTACTTCTACCAGCATGAGCATGATGAGTGACTTATAGAATGTGCTTTCTATACGTCGAGAGGACTTTACTTCTGAATTGTCTACTCAGTCAAAGTAGCACTTATTGGCAAGATTGATTCTGCGTTGTTTGCTGCGTCGCTTTGCTTCTTTATTTAACTTAGAAAAAGCAGAACAGACTTCACGGCTTTTATTACTGATGATGTCCTCCAACATCAGATTAAAGAAATCACATTAAAGGGAGTCGCCATGTTTGAAACCCCGTTTGGTAGCAAACGGCTCGATAAGATCTTTCCCAAGTCTGACGGAGCTGATGGTATTGCTCAACGTCATTTTACACAGGTGTATCAGTTTCCCGGGGAAACCAAATTCAGACATCGCGGCGTATAGGCAAGTCACTCTCTATAGCCATCTCAACCTAAGCTAACCTAACTTCTAAGTTCTTATCTTCTAAAGGCGGATTCACCGTTCGTGTCCGGACACTTTTTGTTAGTAATTGTACGCGTGCCTTTCCCACTCTGTCTCACTGAGAGCGCGACAAAAATGTGCCGAACAGTCATTGTTCGAATTAAATCGATTTTAATTTTTTGTCAGAACGACTCGATGCCTCGGGTTCCCGCGCTCTCCTTTATATGTGTTTGCGCGAATTGCACTATTACTGCCCTCAAAATCGTATGTAGGCAACAATATCATCAGCTGCTTGTTCTAGAACAAATTAAAATGTGCCGAACGAACGGCGAACCATACTTCAGCACCCTCTCCACCGAAAATGTTTTGAGAGCAAATAAAAAGTTGTCCTTACACGAACGGTTAATCCGCCTTTACTATCCTTTTTCTTATGTACATATGTATGTATATATGAATGTGTCTAGCTATATAGTTTTGTTTTGTCTTCATACGCAACTGCCTAATAATTTTTCTCAGACAAAACCATATCTTTCTGCTTTCTGTTTGCCAATTTTCATACAATGGTGCCGAATCTTAATAGCGTATTTATATGGCGTCTGCTTATACATATACATATACATATATAGGTTTGTAAGTACCCTGCAGTAAAATTTAGAGACAGTCTGACAAAGCGCTAGTTCCGAACTTCATATCTCAGAACTATCTCCGAAGTAGTGCAAAAGGAATGCAGAGCGGGACAGTTGAAACTTGCGGTGTATATGTGCGAATGATCACTACTCGTACAATACGAAAGTAGCTCAGCGAGAAGACCTTCGACTCATCCAACGTTGGTCGCGAGTTCAAATCGCGGTGGAGGTGTAAGTTTTAAAATTTAATGAATTTAAATTGTTGTGTGCAGCTTACATTTTTTTTATTTTTTTTTTTTAATAAAATATGTAACAAAAAACGGAATCTGTAAAAGAAAAGAAAAAACGAAAGAAATGTCCAATAATCGAATCGCAAAAACGTTTTCTTATAAAAAAAACTGTCCAAAATGGAACCGGTTAAAAACTGGTTGCAAAGTAATGCACTGGGCGACAATTGCCACCGCCAATGACATCGCCGTGTAAAACTGGGCAGTTGAAAGCATTGCTTGGGTATTGAGCTAGAACTGGTACTGTTGGCAAAACTACGCTAGTTCTAGGCTAGTCAGATTTTCTGCAGGGTACTCATTTAGCAGCACTGTACTACAAATTCTGAGCGCAGTATTTTCCTTTTAATGCAGCCAGTGTGGCCAGAACTCTTTGGACCAACTGGCTAAATAGAAAAAAAGCAAATTCAACCCGAAAAAAATTTTGCCAGCAATAATCTGCAATTAGGAAACACATATGGTTGTGGCACATGGTTGGATTTTTTGTCGACAATAATTTGAATAAGCGAGTTCGTTAAATTTAAAAATATAAACTTTTAGAATGAAAAATGTAGGTAAATACTTGTGTACTTTATTAGTTAAGTTAATTTCAATGTTTTGAGAGGTATTCGGCTGAAAAAAACTGCAGTCGTAATCGGAATGCAATCGCAACCAAAATCGATTTAGGTAACCCGGCAGCTACTACGACAAAGAAACTGAAACGTATGCTGAAGAAAGTCGGCCTAACAAGAAATATACACCTAGATCCTGTTTTTCGGCCCTCTAAAAGAATTTTAAATTTTCTATACTAAGTTCTTATGTCTGAAATACAACCGTGGACACTTGCTGGCAGGAAAACTTGCAAATTCATGCAAATTTGCGTTCGTGCAGAAATTTGTAAGTTTCTCTACTTTAGTGAGAATTTGGGAGAACTTTTTCTTACTATCTTATAATTCGAGTGATAATTCTCACTGGATTTTCGACGAAAACACCTATTGTTTTCCCAGAGAGTTTTGCTTTACATAGAAATTTGTGCTGTTTTAGTTTCATTTTGACGCATTTTGGTTGTTGGTTCTTTTAATTCAAGTTGGGTTTTGGAATTTAAATAAGTTCTCAGCAAAAAAAGTTTGTTTAAAAAATACATATGTATGTGTACATAGTGCTTGAAAATAGCCATTTTTCCCTTACCCTTAACCTTTAAGCGTGGACAACAATGATGCTTTGTAATTAAGGCAGAATTTAATATGCGCTATCTGGGAAGACAATACCTGTAATATTTATTCTATGTGTTGGCATTATATCCAAACACATCTTAAGCAAACAGTGAAACAATTTGTTATTTTCTAAGTTTGCGAATAATACTTCACACTTAAATTTATGAAGAAAATCCCTGCTACGGCCTTCTTAAGAGAAAAAATATTCGTTTAAAATAAAAATAACCAAAATCTACCCAATTTTATATAACCCTGCCTGACTTGAAACTTTTCTACGCGATAAGGCCTAGTAGCCATTTCTATTAGATTTTAGATCGCTTAGTCAAAAATGGAAACATATATTTGAATTTCAATAAAACAAGGGAAATAGCAAAATCGGTTAAAAACGGCTGCTGGCTAAACCGAAATTTCTCCGGCTGTTTGCTATCGCAACCGGTTAAATCTAGCCGGAAACTATAAATGGCAACACTGAATGCAGTCAATGGCCACTGCTGAGCGCTGCTAAGTTTACCGGCAGTGTGACACACACATATTCTTACTTATTACATTCACATGTACGAGTCTAGATATGGATGGAAGTATTTTGTGGAAATAGAGAGTAGCTCCTGGATATTCAACAACATCTCTTGAAGTGCACGTACGTACATACATACATATGTATGTATATACACATAAATCGTATACACTTTTTCGTAATCGCATACTCGGTTTACTTGAAAAAGAGCTTATACAGACGTCGAACATTTCTTAGCTGCTTGTTTCACATTCTCTTTTGCTTATGCATTTCGTTTCTGTCGTTTCGCATCAGTCTGTTGTGTTGAGTCAATTCGTGAGTTTTGGTTGTCAGTAGCACAAGAATTTACATTTAATAAAGCAGGTGAAAGAGTTATAAAAAATTATTTGCAAAAACATTTAACATAGTGATTTCCATGCAATGGGTGACGAATTGGTAAGTGAAAACGAAATGAATAACGAATTTAATGGCAAAAGTGGATTCAAAGATATTTGTAAATTTTTTATCACTACATTTGTTGGCTATACAAACGAAGGAGTGGATAGAAGAAAACAAGGAAGAGAGCACATATTTTAACATTCTGTTAGATGGTTGGAGAGAAATACCCGGGCATTTTGAACGAGATGCGGATTGATGAAGCGCTGTTGATGAAACGGTGTGGAAAATAGTTTCTGGCTGCTAGAAAGGGAAAGGTGTATGCGTTGGTTTTATACCCTTTGGTCGGTTTCACACTAGAACATTTCTGCCACGAGAACAACTCTGTTTGTCGGCAAGAGAGACGGTGCGGTGAGGTAAAGCTTCTACCCCGCATTAAAGTGGCAGTTCTGCTGCAGCGCACCATCCCATGCGCAACTACGAAAATGCCCCGTAATGAATGTCATGCAATAGTCACTTACGTGTCGTGTACGGCCATGTTAAGTCTTCAATGACTTTGGGCTCCGTTTATATGGAAGTCACTCATGACTTTTTCATACAAATGCTCATTTGGTCGTTGATGGCCTCTGCATGATTTTGTCATGCAGTGATCATTTATGGCATTCAAGCGACATTTTCCTGCAATAGACTTTTTATAAGTGATCGCTGCAAGACATTGTAGGATAGGTACACCTGCATGAAATTGTCACCAGAGTCATTGTCAGCTATATATCGCTTAGGATTCACAGCAAGTGCGACGATGTCACTAAATCCTCATTAGTGACAATGTTACCAGTGACCATTTTCGCTACTGGGACCGCTACGCAACTTTAAAGCGTCCTATACGTGTACACAAGGCGAATTTATACCAGGTGGTGTTGATGGCGTTGATGTGTTTGTTTTAAACGAGGCGAATTCATATTACAACAAACACATCATTTTGATATTAAGGCCGTGGTTACGCCACTTATTTCGATTGGCAATCACCGTACAATTGTTGTTGTGCACAGCACGGAGTGAGAGAATTTTCGAAATCGAACAGCCAGCATAATTTGCTGGGTGAACCGAACAGCCAGCACGCCAATTTTTCAGGGTGGCAATACGCTATTTTGCGAAAAAGTATTAGTATTAAATATTAAAATAGTAAAAATATTTTATTATTATTATTATAAAGTAGATATTATAAAAAATATTGTAATAAAAATTAAATATTAAAGAAAGAAAAAATATTAAGTTTTTCTTCCATTTTTCATTTTCCGACTTAAATTTTGATGCGTTTTTAGTTCCATTTTTAATTCAGTGCTGCCATTGCTTGCGAAATTGTATGAAATAGAAAAAGGCATGTCTTAAGAAGCAACCCTGTGCTCGCCAATCAGCAAACAGAGCGTAACCACTTCTCACCAACCACCGAAATTTGTCTCTTTTGATTGCCAATTAAAATTGGTGGCATAACCACGGCCTAAGAAGTACCGCGGCAAAAATCTAAATTCGCCATCAACACCACCTTGTATAAATTCGCCTTGCGTGTACACATTTTGTTCCGCTAGTTTTCATCCAGTGTGAAATCGTGAGAATAATTGTTCTGTCATTCTAGTGTGAAACAGCCCTTTTAGACCCCTCAAGGCTTGAAAGCAATTTTTCCGCATTCTCTTTTGTGTTTTATATTTGCTTCCACACGCGTCAACTTTCTATTGAATTCTTGGTTTTTTTTTAACTCGGAAGAAACCAAGAGATCAAAAGAGACAAGAAAACTTTAAACGAATCGGCGATACAGAGAGACACTCTTACCCTCTTTTCCCACCTCCTTCGCCTACGATCGAGCAGAGTTGAAAGCAATACTTGTATTTTAATACAAAGACGGAAGTTTTCGGGTTCGTTCGATCGGTTGCATAATCGGATGAATGGTTTGTGTCTAAACTGCGGAAACCAAAATATGCACTTTACAAGACCGGACTACCCGAAATTACAATATATTGAAAGTATATCTGCCGAAACCAACACTTAAAGCTCAGTTGGTCTAGACTTTACTTACCAGCTCATATACCAAGAGGTATGAAGGGATCAGTTGTGCGCATTACTATTATCACGGCGTAGAAAATAATGCTGCAGATCGTACACCGTTAACCCTCTATTTTCTTGATATAAATACATATAGGGAATACACAAGGTGTTGAATCTAGGAAACACACTGCTTCGACAGGGGCAGACCAAATAGGAAGTGCTATTTGCTGATTGGATTTAGTATAGATACGGTGACCATCCGTCCTGTTTTTTGCAGGACCGTACTGTTATTCAGAGGTCTGTCCTGCGTAGTTTTTCAAAACAGAAAAACTTGAAACTACCGATTTTTTCCAAGTGTCCTGCCTTTGTCCCGCATTTTATTCGATATTTTCAAATAACCGGCGGTAGCCCTTTACTTATCAACATATGTATATGTAAGCAGTGTTGATAACTACATCAGGATGAGGCTGATTTTGAAGCTTCAACTAGTCACTGCATTCTAAATTTTATGCGGGTATAGACAATGGACGAGAAGAAAATTGAGGCCAGCGCCACAAGTATCTCATGAAAAGCTCTCCCAATCAATTGAAGCGATCTACAGTTCGCAATGTATTGAAGTGCCTCTTACAAAAATATATAACTTGTGACGTCGGCAAGAAAAACTCATTTAAAACGAACGCGAGCTTTTAGCCACGTAAAACTTGCACTGGTTTTACTAAAATTAAACAGCCGATTGTAGGTGCCTGCATACCCAGAATTTTTCTAAAAATTCAGATTAAAAGGTACAAACTTAAGATGAACATTTTTTGAATTTTTCCAAATTCCGTATAAAGTTTGACTTATGAATGAACAATATTTTTATTAAAAAAATAACAAAAAAATTGACTTGAAAAACATTGAACACATTTAACAAAAATCACCATGCATATGTATGAAGGTATATATTTTTTATTGTCCTACATTTTCAATTCATATTTATGGTCACCGTAAGTATAGAGGTGATTGAGTATGTCCAAGTAGAGTCTGCGGATTTTTCAAGGCAGATGCAGCTCTTCATCTGGTTATAGATGAGTGGTGAAAAGAACTCCGATGACGGTATTTAAGCAATTTTATCTTGGTGAATTTCGAGTATGGCCTGCCTGTAAAATTTCTAGTTGACCGTGCAGCTGCACGTGCTTGCATTAAGCATTAAGTTGTGCTTCTATACTGAGTAGTATTGAGGCTTTTACATAGGTGGTGTTCAGGCGACCTGAGAAAGCATCCACTTGCTCCCTCGAGTGCGGCGTTCTAAAAGGCCTACAGCTTCGTCCACTGCTTCGTAATTGTCCTGCACTACCAAACTGTTCTCTGACGTAGTTGAGCATCACTTGCCCCGAAAACTGCCTATTTAGTAACTTTGTCCTGAATTCAGGCGTAACTTCTAAAGATGCCAGCGGTTTCACTCGTTTGGTTCCAAAGCACTTCTGACCTCGGATGAGTCGTTTTCTCTGTACCAGTTGATCCTTCTGCACAATTGGGTTCGGAGATCGGCCACTGTAACTTATGTTTTCCGCGGGAGTCTGACTTGTTAGGGACATTTTGGTCGGCAGGAGGCCTCTTAGCCAAATGTTTCCGCATCGGCTGGAGGTTACGGATGTTACTGCTTCGCAGATAATCTACGTGTCGCAGTGAACTGGTTCTATCTAAAAGGTTGTAATTAGCGCAACAGCCAACGTTGACATGAAGACACTCCCAGTCGCGGTGAGAATCTGTAAATATGTTCTGGGAGTGCTAGGGTAATTTGGTACCGATCTGTCGTTGGAAGCGCATGATTCAATAATTAAAGGTTTGCTCATTAGTGACATCCGAGTTTTGACACTCCCTTAACTCCCTTACAAAAGCTTTGCACACACACACGAACTCCACACAGTGGCATGCTAAGGGGGCCGATTTTGTCAAGAGGGAGCGAGAAAACCGTTTTCAAACCTTTTATTATTGAATCATGGTGAAATCCCGTTTTATAAATTTTTATAAAAATGTCAACTATCTCGCAAAGTAGCAGTAAAATCGGTCCTTGGGAGTAGGGGAGTATAAATGACAAAATAATTGTAAAAAACTACCAACGAAGCACTTTCGGCAGTACTGGTTACAACCGCTTTGATCGATCGCTTTCAGACATGTCAAGTATTGCTTTCAAGTTTGCTCGGTTCGTTGGCGAAGGAGGTGAGAAGAGAGGGGAAGAGTACATTCGTCGCACCTCCTTCGCCAACGAACGAGCAGACTTGAAATCAAGACTTGACGCGTGTTAAAATGGTCTTAGCTCGATTGGGGTTCTTGGAAATTAGCGGAGTGGTGGTTGGATTCGCTACTTTTTATGTGGTTGGAAAATCGAAGACGGGCAATTATTATTTCCTTCCTTCGCTCTCACATCTTAGTACAAGAAATTCCCGCCAAAATACTTTTTACTTAGAAAATTTAGCCAGTTTCACCACTCACGACACCAGCATGCTGGTACAATGATACAATTTTCAAATAGTTTTGGAAGTCGCACCAGCAGCTGGTACAATTGATGGGACATTTTGATGGGCCATTTAACAAATTAAGTATATTAAGGGCCGTAAACTTATCTATTTTAAACTATAGTTAAATCGTTAATAGCTAAGTTAACAGCCCTAACACTTTTACAGTATGTATGTATAAAAACGTAAGGAACATACAATACATATTTGTATATATATCAGTCTTTCTTAGTTTAAAAATTATTCTCTTACATAAATGAAAAAAATTAGATCAAATTAAGCATATACAACTTTTTTCATGCCAAGTATGAATTCTCCAAAAGGCTAAAACGGGGCTAGGCGTAATTTTAAATTTATGTGGCCAAAAAAAGTATTTGGTAGCTAAATCTACCCACCAAGGGGCTAAAACGGCAACACTGATGCTCTATCGTTTAGCCGGTGGCGAGACAGCATTAATCAACATCGCTTGAAGCTATTGAAAGCTAACAGCAAAGATACCCTGCGCGAAATATTTTGTGATTA